GTGGAAATTGTTCAATGGTAGAGGCTGGTGTTGATCTGTAGATAAGAAACACAGGGAAAGAGAGAGGGAGAAGAGGGTGAGAGAAGAAATCCAATTAGCATGTCACGTCATTTTTTCTTCTAGTCAAAACCCATTTACCCAATATTTAATGATATGGAAAAATTTCTTCCTTTTTTTTTAAAAGTTTCAAGCAACATTTTTTAAAAAAAAAAAGTTTAAGATACTAAACACTTTTTAAAAAAAAAATTTCATTTTGCCCTTTTACCCTTTTAAATATGATATTTTAAATTTTAAATTTAAATCTAAATCTACAAATTGAAATGCTACCAAAAAACCTTGCAATTTTAAACGAGTGCATACGTAACAATGAAAAGAGACAAATGAAAAATATATTAAACACATAATGATGGAGTTGCTTTATCGATGACATGAAAATAATGCTATTTATTATACATTTATTTTATGCTAGACATGTTTTTATGCGTACTGCACGAAATTTAAATAGTGAGTTGCATATTTTATGATTTGTGAATATTATTTATCTATATAGATTCCTATATGTATGAAATTATATTTCAAAAACAAATAAGAAAAATATTTTTCACCAGATATCTGTATCTAAAAGTTTAAAACACATCTCAAAACAAAATAGTACCCGCTCACCCCTCCCCTCTTAACTTACATTGGGCTTAATCTTCTGGCCCAAATTAATTGGGCCTAGTTTTGCTCCTCTTGAAACACATCTCAAGCGGACCCAGAAAAACCTTTGAGAAGACAGTGCCAATAAAAAACAAAAAAAACAGAAAAACCCTAGAACACAGGGCTCCTATAAAGTTTTAAACTTATACAAGGCTCAAAGTACGAACTGGGCGGCAAGGGGAATTCGCTGTAAGTCTCTCTACTCTCTGACACCTGCTCACCCTGTCTCAATTGTTGAACTTTTTGGATATTAACTTTGATTGTGAATTTTTCAAAGTTTCAGAGTAATGGGTTTGCGTTAGAAAATTTCCAGTTGTTTATGTCGACTAGTGCAAGTTCTAAAGCATTCTTTTTTTTTTTTTTGTTTTAGTGCCTTTTTGAAGAACCAGGGAAGCAAAAATGGCCGTGCCATTGCTTTCAAAGAAGATCGTGAAGAAGCGGGTCAAGAAGTTCAAGAGGCCGCAGAGCGACCGCAAGATCTCTGTGAAGGTATCTAACCGAACGACATTTGTATAAATATGTAATTTTTTTAATGTCCTGATTTGCTGTCTGATTTGACGATCTATTGAGCTAGGTGTTGGTTGTTTATTCTGTTCTCAATTCAAACCTGCGGGTTTAATACCGGTTCAATGTGAACTAATGGATTACTTTGGGGTCTGCTGTTTCATTGCGCCTTGCCAGTTATTGCAAATGGTTGTTTCTTTTTGGCTAGAGTGCATTATAACGAGCCTAACTTCGAATGCAATTCCAACACTCCTTGAACCTTAACTTAATGACCCAGTTACATTCTTTACAATTGTGATTCTGCGTAGAGGAGGACTCAATTGAGCTCGGATAGGATATTATGACAGTTTTTGTCGCCCCAGTCTTAATTTGCACCATTTGGTGCAAGATGGTGACTGACATTGTATCTGATCCTAGTATGTTGTAGTTCAGTGCATTTCAAGGTCATTGCTAATGTTTCTTTCACATCGAAACATAAAAAATGTGCTCGTCTGTATTCTTCTACCTGCTTTCCTTTCGTTTTATTGTTGCACACCTAACACTAGTTAAATCACTTCAGGTGAAGCGATCTTTGCTCTTTAGCCTATTTACAAGTTTCTGACAATAATTCACTACGGCTTCATTTTATCCTTTGATTGTAATGTTGTAAATGGTAATCATATGTCTTTTCTCGTGTCAGAACACGTCTATCATGGCCCCCTCAAAATATGGTGATTCAGTAAATGAGAGATGATGATGTTTATCCATCAATTCTGCAGTCGAATGATGATTTTTAACATGCACTACCATCTGACCTCTGTTGTATATTTGGATAGCTTTGTGTGTATTGACTATTTTATCACCAAATGTTCATTTATGTGTTCATGATGTTCTTAAACTGTACTAATGAATTTATACCGGTGCTTCTGCTGCTGGTGATGTAAAGCATTTAATTATTATGACTGATATCTGATTATTACACAAAATATCACCATCTTTCGGCTGAAGTTGCATATTAGAGTTTCTGCTTGCGTTTTGCCTTTGATAAATGTTAGTTGAAGTCATAGTTATTTGAAGTTCCATGACAATGAGGCATCTTTTTGCTTTTGTTAGGCATCCCTAATTGGTTTTTCTAAACTTTTCTGCAGTCAATATGAGAATTTTGTATGGCGTGTCATATTGTTCATATTATTTCTTTTGATGTGGCGTGTATGTAATCATGTTTGGGTTCTATCATGTATATTTTGCCCGTGGTATCTGATGTCCAGATTTTGTTTCTGTAGCTGGGCATTTCGTTTGAAGGGCATATAGAAATTTTATACAGGTCTTGCGACACAGTTGGCTTGCTTTTTATATAGGCCTTCTGTTACTATTTCCCTGTTGACATCTTAAATCCATTCATACCAGGTTTGGTGCATCTTCTCCCTGAAAAAGATGTTTCCCTCCATCCAGGTCCTGTTATAATTTAGAATGTTTTATGTTTAAAGAATGTCAAGAACCAACAGAATTTGCTTTGCTGCACTTACTAATGGTGCGACTTTAGGAGTACATGCAGCTTTAGGAAAGCCTTTGCCAATATTCTAAAGTTGTGACTTAACCTTGTAATTGATTGCCTTTGTTGTAACTTTAATTATGTTCTTGCGTGTTTACTGCAGGAAAACTGGCGCAGGCCAAAGGGTATTGATTCCCGTGTCAGGAGGAAGTTCAAGGGATGCACTTTAATGCCAAATATTGGCTATGGATCAGACAAGAAGACTAGACACTATCTCCCAAATGGTTTCAAGAAATTTGTTGTGAACAATGTCAAAGAGCTAGAACTTCTCATGATGCATAATAGGTGAACTGATTCGTCCCAATTTGTTGATTCTCTGTTCCAGACTGTATTGCATGGCATCAGAACTTTCGCTGATGTTCCGATTATCTGTTATTTCAGGACATACTGTGCTGAGATTGCTCACAATGTTTCCACAAGGAAGAGAAAGGAGATAGTTGAGAGAGCTGGCCCAGCTTGATGTTGTTGTTACCAACAAAACAGCCAGACTACGCAGTCAGGAGGATGAATAATCTGGATGACTCTGAAAGTCACTTGTGATTTGTAGCAAGTTTTTTGGTTGACATAAATGTCGTGGTGATAGATTTTTGTCATAATTTTATTTTTGCTGAAATTCGTAGCATGTTTTACATTAAGATATTTGGCTTGTTTAATGGCCGTTTTACTATTTTAGTCTATTGATTCGGATCCCCAAGTATTTTTCAGCTTTCAACGGTCAGGTTTTTGCACTTCCAATGCTTCATGAAAATGTTTTTTTCGAAATATAAGCTGGAGCCTGGATGTCATAAAAACACATTCGGATATAACCCTACTCTTCTGCCTTTATTAGGCCTGTACAATTTTGGGTCTCATCCTACTTTATGCTGGATTTTTACTTTTATAAAACTAAAGCAGATGCATGTGAATGTTTTTTTCCGAGTCTTCATTTTCACGAACACTTATTGCTCAGTGTACGCTGTTGAGTGGATACTTGAATCCCATGTTGGTTCCATTCCACCTGTCTCCTATTTCGGTTCTTAATCGATTTGTAGGTAGTCTTGTTTGTTATTTAAGTTTTAAAATTTAGTTGGAAAAGACGCTTGTGCGTAATACTATTTGCAATGTCTGAGTTTATTCTTACAGTATTCTATTCCATCAGGCAGATTTTGATTCCGCCTTTGTTACAGCGGAATGAATCCTAGAGAACTATCCCACATGAACATGGCAACAATTCGGATCAAGTGACGTTTCTGCAAAAAGACGTCTTTTCTTTCCCTGGTTAAAAATGGCAACTTTTTGACATTTGCTTTTGGTAGAGTATGAATATCTGAAATATGAACTCTTGCATCTAGAAAATGATTCAGAATGCTCAAAAATTAGACGGGCAAAGATGAGTGAGGGGAAACTCATGATAAATACTTAAAGCTGAGTTTGATTCATAAATTTAGTCTAGTTTAACATATATTATACCAGCATCATATAAACATAAAATAGTGCCATCATATAGACATAAAATAGTGCAAACTTTGGAAGACGAACTGGGACCACAGTGGCGGAGTTACATTCACTTGAGGGGCCATATACACCCCTTCAATTTGGAGGAAATTACAAATGAGAAGTAGATATTTACTATTTATTCTTTCTCGTCACAAAATTTTGAACCACTTAAAATTGAGGCTTTTTTTTTGTGTGAATGTTTTAACTTAAGTCTAATTATGAATTCACTAAATTCAAAACTCTAATGTAATTTTTAGAAAGGAATATTCTTATTTATTTAATTTTTTTAAATATCTAGTTACTTATTATATATAAATAATATCATAAATTAGTGACTTATATGAAAGAAATATTTTTAATAGCATTTGACAATGAGCAAGGGACAATTATAAAATGTATGATTATTTTAAAAAATATTAAATAATTCTTTTTAAATTATTATTTTTAAAATTAATTTGCACCCCTAATAGAGTCCTGGCGCCACTGACCACAGTGGAAGAGTTCCCAAGGGGCAAAGAATATGACTTGCCTCGAAGAAGGAACATGTAGGAAACTGAACAAGGTACTATACATAAAACAAACTCAAGAAAAAGGGAGGCAAGGAAGAATCTGGCATATTTCGTCCTGCCTTGAAAGTGAAGCACGAACATTCATCTTCTTTACAACCCTGCATGATCTTTTGAACTAGCAGCCTTGGCAAGAAAAGAACCCGAGTTTCCACCCAATTATCCTATGCATATATTTATATATACATAAAGGACTCTCCCTTGCACCATCCTCGATCAGAAGGAACTTTCTGAAACCTCCTTCCTCCTCCTTGATCAGAGAACTTTCCGCTTTTGAAAATCCACACAGTACAGAGATGGCCAACCAAGAAATGAAACCCATTGCCACATTGCTTCTGCTCCTCAACTTCTGCATGTACGTGGTCGTTTTGGGAATTGGTGGATGGGCCATGAACAGAGCAATAGATCATGGCTTCATCATAGGTATCAATTATGTTTCTCAGACACAATCCAGAGAGTTTCATGACAAGATAAATAGAAGTTCCTGTTGTTTCTATCTTCGCATCTGGCTTATGTTGTACTACTGTTGAGAACTGCAGGTCAAGGATTTGAACTTCCAGCTCATTTTTCGCCCATATATTTCCCCATGGGGAATGCAGCCACTGGATTCTTTGTGATGTTTTCTTTGATTGCTGGAGTTGTTGGAGCTGCTTCTGCAATTGTTGGATTCAATCATGTCCGTTCATGGACTCCTGAGAGCTTGCCATCTGCAGCTTCTGTTGCTGCCGTTGCTTGGACTCTCACCCTTCTTGCCATGGGGTAATAATAATAATCCATCCACCATTATTTGCCTGAATTCAAAAGTTTTTCGTTTTTTCTTTTGGGTATGATCATTACTGTATTGATCTGACAAGCAAACGATTTGTGCAGCTTCGCCTGCAAAGAGATTGAGCTTTATATCAGAAATGCCCGCCTGGTAAGACAAGAACAGATAATTTCTGTGTTTTTTTTTTTTATTCCCAGAAACTGTATGATAAGTGTTGAGTTGAGATTTGGAATGTTGAATTTTGCAGAGAACAATGGAGGCGTTCTTGATTATACTGTCAGCTACGCAGCTTTTCTACATAGCAGCTATTCATGGCGCCAGGAGATGAAGCGAGAGAGAGATGTTGAGGAAGATGACTCTGATCAGATGGGGCTTGTGTGATTTGTTGTGTTTCGTTATGTTCTGATTTTCGGGTTTCATTTCTGCTGTGATTTTTTTTTTATTTTTTTTTCATCAGTCTTTTATTTTCTGAAACATGCTTGCAGAGTTGGCAGATTGTGTGTAATTTTCGTGATTGGATTTGTATAAATCAATATTATTTATATTACTTATTCCAAATTAAAGAAATGTGTCCCAAAGGCAATAGGCCATTATTATTGGGATAAATGATTGTTTCAGCTTAACAAGTAGTCTTGAATTCAAATTTTGAAAATATTCTAGCATTAAAACTCTATGGTGGAACCCGCTACTTGAAAAAGTCTATCAGCAATACTCAAATCCGTGTTAGTATGAGTCCGTGTTAAATTCTTTCAATTGGACAAGAAGTGAGTTTATAGCGCAAGCAAGAGAAATGTGTCCCCCTGTAGATTCTTTTTTTTTAAAAAAAAGATTTTTAAACAAATTTTATTTTTTGGACAATAAAAACTTTCTCCTTTCACCACAACAATTGTACATGAATTCAAATTGCTTTGACTAATTGAAGAAATCAAGTAGAGAACCGAGAGAAAAAGAATTTTTTTTTTCTTAAAAAAAAAACAATTGCCGGACCCATTTTTTTACCAATGAGAAAAAAAAATTGTAAATGCTAAGAAATCGGGCTTTGGGCCACAATTTTAAAAATAAAACAAACTAATAAGATTGAATTCCAAAGAATTAAAATTTAAAAATAAATCAATAATTAAAAGAAAAATTAAAAATTAAGGGCCCGTTTGGTATGAAAAATTTTAATAATATAAAAATAAAATTGTATATAAAATTCAAATTTGTCTCATTTGGTATGTCAGATTTTTAATTCCATGTGGAATCCAATTCCACCAAAACACCCTCGACTTCCTCACCATAAGTCATCAGTGACCTTACCGGTGGCCCTCTCTGATTCCATCTTCTTCCATTCTTCCAAACCTGATACCCATTATTGTCTCATCACTCCCATCACCAATCAAGACCTCCATCAACGGGAGAGGGAGTGTTTAAGCTTCAAAATAATGAAATCACCATCAACAGCCAACTGTACATAGCCTTTATCTTTGTGGCAACCTCTAACCTCTATCATCATCACCGATGGCATGATCAACGAATCCTTAAAGGCACAGGTACTGGTTCGATCTTCTCTCTCCCCTCCATCTCCTAGATTTACAATCTTTTATCTTCTTTTTTTTTTTTTTTTGTAAATTGATTGTTGGGTTGTGAGCTATATATCCTTTTGTTTCTTGTTCAGATTTGATTTCATTTCTTCTCTATGGTGCATTTGGAGTTTGGATGATTTCATTTATTCTACATGACCAAAACCTTCAAAATTGGGTTTTGGGTTTTGTGTGATTTCACCTAGTCTTTTTTTTTTTTATTTAGATTTTATTTCATTCCTTCACAAACTTGAAGCATTGATTTTTGATTTCTTGCAATTTCTGAAAGGTTGATTGTTGTTTTGATAATAGAAAGATGGCAACAGATTTTATTTGTCCCACTTCAATGTTGCTGGCCAAGTTTCAATTATTTTGGTAGGACCAAATTTTTTTTTTGATGAGGGCATTTTAGTCTTTGTATATTTTAGATATCAATATTAAATAAAAATAATTTCTCAATTCCATTATCATACCAAACATATTTCAAAATTATATATCCATTTTTATTTTCATCAAAATTATTTTTAATGTATCAACGAGGCATAAGAGTTATCCTTTTTCATATTAAAACAAAACAAAAAAGTGAGATGGAGTTATTCTATTATACAACAAATTTAAAATTGTTTGGTTTAACTAAAATTTTGAATGTCACATGTATATGATAATTGATTCAACAAACCGGGTTATTTTGTTATTAAAAAAACAAAACAAACTGGGTCATTTTACTTTATCGCCCAAAAAATTTGGGTTTGAGTATAAAAGCTCGTTTTCTGTTGGGCCACAACCCAACCCCGAGTTCACCTACTCCAGAGCCCAGATGGCTATACATCCCCTCAAGGGTGGTCCATAATTTTAGGAAAATCAAATTTAAGACTTTAAACTAAAATAAATATTCAATTTGCATACTCCCTCCTTTCTATAAAGCCCCTTTACTATTTTTATGAGATTAAAATAATTAGATAAATATAAATTTTTTACAACTTTTCAAATTAGTTTACTACTTTTATTGGATTAAAATAATTAGTTAAATATAATTTTTTTTTACAACTTTTCAAAGTTAGTTAATTGAGAGGAGAGAGATAGAAATTATTGACAAATGATGTTGGAGAAGATTAGTAGAATAACCCCACATTTTAATTTAAAATATCAAAACTCAACTTCCAATTAGGGCTAGCTTAGCTTTTGGGTTTCAAATGGTGTGATGCATATAAGTTCCTACTATAATTAAGGCTAATCTTATTTTGAATTTCAAACATATGAGTAATAATGGGCTTACAACTCTAAGGCAAAAACTAGATTTTGATACCACTTTATTAGAAATAGGGAGGGAACGCTTGGAAATGGGGTGGAGAAGAAATGGACATGATTAAAAGAAGGATAAGATATCTTAATTCAAAATTGTAAGGCTCAAGTTTATGGGTATTTCTCCTTTAGTTTATATTAGTTATTAAACCTAATTTTATTTGATGCGAAACTTCCTATATCAGTTCAAGTTTACTCACAATTAGATAGCCTAATAATTTTCCCCTAAAAAGTGAGTCAATAAGCTCCTAATATCAAAAATACCTTACAAACACCAAGTCTATGCACTAGCAATCAGAATCATCTAGTTTTTAGGTTTTAAATAGTGTTATACACACAAATCCCTATTGCATTTATGGCCACTCCCATTTTGGATTTCAAACATGTGCATAATAACAAATTTTCACGTCCTGAGCGAAACTAGACTCTAATATTATTTGTTCTAAATGAAGAGCAATTACCCATTAATGATAAGAGAGGAAATATTGATAAGATTAGTTGAAGGGTACTATATTATAACCCAAAATTTTAAGGCTTGAGTTTAGGAATTCTTTCACTAATCTTGTTTGTTTCTTCTCTCCTTCTATTATTGGATAGTCACTCCTCGATTCATTCCTAACTCTAATAAATTAATGTCACCTAATCCTTGCCCATATTTTCTCAATAATTTAATAAAACTTTCGCTTTGATCCGCACTAATGCATCTACAAAAACTGGCAAAAATAGGCCCAACGGCCATGCCACATCAATGTTGCTTACTGTGGCCTATCACCACACCTGGTAAATATATATTTCATTCTTTCAGGGGAGATAAAAAATTAAATATTTAAAAGTTTTTTTTACATTTATCTTTTTTAAAAAAATTGTACATTTTTATTATTATTAGCATTAAAGTACATTTCTTTTTACATTTTTTTGAGGAGTGTTGAGCATTTTATACTAATAAATGAAGCCTTTTTTCTTCTAAAACATTTTTCAAAAGAGTAAAATTCCACCTCTCTTAGTAATCTATTAACTGAGGGGATCTTTGGTCATTTGGAAAATAGTTTATAGAAAAAATCCCTCTCTTATTAGGATAGAATACTCAATGTTCTTTGAAGGAAAGTATGTGAACAAAAAACAATTTAACTCTTATATGAAAATACCAATTAAGAATAAGAAAAATGATAAAAAAATTCTTTTGAAATATGTAAATGATAATTTAATCCCTCGAAATGCTATAATACCAATGAAGTCTCTAAGAACTTTTTTGTCATCAAGAAATTAATATAAATGATCAAATTACCCTTAGTTCAAATATCAATTATCATTTATAAGTTTTGTTTTAACATTCACAACTTTTTTTCTTAAAATCACAAGAATGCAATAGCAATTCGTAAGTTCAAATTTGAAATCTTAAACTAAGGGTAATTTAGTCATTTATATTAATTTTTTAATGATAAAAAAGTTCCTACGGACTTCATTGATATTATGATATTTTGAGACTAAATTATCATTTATATAATTCGAAGGGATTTTATTGCCATTTTTCATTAAAAATAAGTGACACTTTAGCTCTAAATATCCATTAATTTAATTGTTAGTTGACCAAAATAATTTTAAAAAATACCTAAAAAATTTAAGAGACTTGATCAATATTAAATTTTTTAAAATATTATTTTCTTAATAAATATTAAACATTTTAACAATTTTTATTATAATAATAATATTTTTAAATAAATTATAGAAAATGACTTAATGAGAAAAGTAACAATGATTAAGTCATTTTAATATTTTAGGTTATTATTTATAATTTTTTCAATCAATTAATGATTTTCTTTTAAAATATTGAATCACTCAAATTTAATATATATTTTATAATTTTGTATTAAAAAAAGAAGGAATGGACCTTGTAACTTGTTTTTTCAATTTTAAAATTGAAAACATATTACATTATATAATTCATTAAAGTGCATTTTTGCTTTTTTTTAGAAGGAGTAGGCACTTTGCATTAATAAATAGAGTATTTTTTTTAAATTATTTTTTAAAGGATCAAAAATTTTTCTCTACTAATGAATTAAGAGAAATTTTTTATATTTTTAAAAAATAATTTTTAAAAAAATATTTTATTTATTAGTATAAAATGTCTCGCATTCCTGACAAGGGAAAAAAAAACTTGAGGAAAAATGCATTTTAAATTTTAACCCTTATCATATCACACATTTCGTCTTTGTTCACATGATGCACAATTCTCGAAGGGAGAACGATGATGGGGAGTGACGACGAAAGATGATGGGAAAGAAGAATGGGAGGGGTATATAGGTAATTATGAGGCCTCCTCCTCTTGTGCCTTGCCTGATAGCGTTCACCTGCTACTCCCCATCTTCAATTATGTTGGTGACTTGTAAGACTGCATCACTGGCAATTCGGCCCATTTGCTATTCAATTTTGGTCAACATTTCTCTCTCTTGTAAACATTAAAAACATGGCCCACTGGTCTCAAAATTTATGTGGCCCCAACCTCTCTATATTGATCCCACGTACCAATGCAGTGAATGGTTGGATGATCAAATTAATTAATTCTTTTTCCCAAGCTTTAGCCAGCCTAGTTGATGGAAATTTTTTTTAAAAGTTAAAATTATAATTTTGTAAAAATATATTTAAACACCTCTCTTATATATTAAAAATAATTATGAACTTCAAATTATAATTTTTTAAAAAATA